TTATTAATGCCCAGAGACCTGTGGCAATGAGTTATTGGATAGGATTAGACATGATATTAAAAATTATTGGATGAGGTCGGGTTGATACAAGTTCAGCGATTATTGGATAAGGTTTGGTTGATATGAAATATTTTCTTCTATCGAAAGCTTAAGTCATGCTTCAATAAACTTATTATGGTAATTACAGTAATTAGCACTATTTTGAGCGTTATTAAAACGTTTTTATAGTTGACATGATTTTAATGCTGGCTTTACAAGACGACGGATTCAGTCGACGGATTGCATTTGATATTTGAAAAATAGAATGCTAACATAATGTTTATYGAGGATCTCAATTCTAAATACAGAAATTTTCGACCATGCGCCAGGAAGGGAAAAAAATTACTTTTGAAAGGGCTGTTTGAATATCGGCGTCAAATTACAATCGCTGAAATTCACCATCAACTGGTTGAACGATTCAGTCTGCTCCATAATCGAACAGCGAGACTACATATAAGCATTTTTGCTGATACGAAACAAGCGAGTTGAATAAAGTTAAAGGAAACTTTGCTGCCGTTGTAAGGAGCTTTGGTGAGCATCATGGTTGGTATTGAGTGGTGCATCCATTTCCAAAAATGATGTACATGCTTAAAATTTGTGATTTGGTGAAACATTTCAATTACGGTGGAACTAATCCTTCAATTTTGGGCAGATCAACTTCATGGTTGACGGACGATCGGTGGAAAGTAACTGTAGTTCGTGGTAATAGTTGTCCAGTGCACGAGGCACGTCCTTACCTTCATTTGGAGGAATTTTCTTCTGGACGATCTGAAGACAATTACGAATTTGTGCAGAATCTGTAACATCCATAATGATYACAGTAAGTCTTCTGCTGCAGAGACGCTCTAAGTTTTCTTTCCCTTCTTTTGTTAAGCATGTGGCAAATACATTGAGTCCTAGTCGATCCAAACGTACGGCTGTACTTTTACCAAATCCGCTGTCGCAGCCAGTAATGAGAATGTATTTCTTATCGAGTGAGGACACTCTAGGCTTTGGAAGAAGAATCTTTTTCAATGYAGTGAATGCTAGGTAAAGAATTGGTAATATCAATGTGATCAGCAAGGAGTTCCATTCAATCTCCATTTTCTCGTTTTCGTATCTTTCTCTGGTTCCTGGYAATGTCGTAATCCCAATGTCGGAGTCCCATGCGGTGATCATTTGAATACCAAATATATACTTCATTTTTAATGAGATAGGCTATTGTGCAATGCTTATAAAGACCTCGAGAGACTGTAGACCACTGTAGGGAAAATAATAGATCACAAAACACATATTATCGATCTTATGTTCCCTGTAGTTTAGTGTTACAGCTATTCAGTGATGGTTTAAAGTTAGCATTGCTTTTTTCCCCTCAGCCCTTCTCTTTCTCTAGGATACCTAGAACGACATTTGAATATCATAATTTACCAGAACGCCTGGATTCTCTGGAATATTSTCAGATTGTAAAAYACMTGCCGGACTGGACTGAAACACCTGGWCTGCGAAAACCTTCAGTGCGAAAATCTTTGCCATAAGTGCCGAYTTTTGCAATGCAAAAGAAAGTAGGTATTGACCTGAAGGAACTCCAAAAACGATCTGGACCACTATATAATAAMATATTTATTTCCACACATAAATAAAATTTACAAAAGATAATTTTATGAAAATTTTATCATAATTTACCAGAACGCCTGGATATTCTCTGGAATATTCTCAGATTGTAAAATATATGCCGGACAGGACTGAAACACCTGGACTGCGAAAACCTTCAGTGCRAAAATCTTTGCCATAAGAACAAGAACAGATTTGTTAAGTAACAATGCGCGCAAAAAGCAGGCAACCTTCTATTGTTCTGCGGCAATTGCAACTTCCCCACATACGAATGTCTTGATTTTCACACTGATTATATATCAACCTACGGGTAACACATTTTTAAAATAAAATGTGGATAAACTCTGTTTTGAAACAAAGTTTCTTTTGTATTAAAAGATCTTGTCCAATCATAAGCTCTCAAAACAATAGCCAAAAGATGCTTGTCTTATTTGCTATGTTCCCCACATAGAATTGCTATTAATATTAAAGCTAAGGAAAGCTTTTATGAAGTTAGAATCAGATATTAAATAAAATATTAAAAAATGCAATTACTTTTGAAATTATGTCAGATTTTAATGTTTTAACCAATGAGATGGATGGATTATACAATACACAATTAGCACCTTCATGCATTCCATTGCCGTTTGCTTGCCTGCTTCTTACTCGGACCATTACTTAAAAGACCTTACTTGTGTAATTGTCACTTTCTTTTCTTTTCTTTTCTTTTCTTTTCTTTTCTTTTCTTTTCTTTTCTTTTCTTTTCTTTTCTTTTCTTTTCTTTTCTTTTCTTTTCTTTTCTTTTCTCTTTTCTTTTTTTCAGTTATTTATACATTGTGTAATGATATAATAATAATAGATGCAAGCAAGTTGCAAGTTTTAATTGCAAGTTGTATTGCTAGATTACAAACACCAAATGTGTGCACTATACTACACTTTACTTAGCCATTCGGAGCTATTGGGCTTCCTGTGTACAAGATGGACAGAATGTGGAATGTGGCGAGAATACAAGAGCCTAGAAAAAAAGACCAGAGACCTTGTGCTGCGATAGGAGTGAATAAAATTATGTCAGTAAACATTTTTAATACTGCAAGCTTTGAATCTGCGTTTTGACAAATCGGTAGAGGAATATTTCGCGAGARCCAGGACGACATCCGAAAATGACGTAACCATCGTGTTTCCGACGAAACTTCCAGACGATTAGCCGAATATATAGCGCGTTTGTATCAACACAATTTTACACGTTCTCCTAGTTTAATTAACTAATATTGTATATTTTTGCTACAGTGGTGGATATTTTTACAAATTATATCCTTAAACCGAACATTGACTTTATTATGTAACGATGTCAACTTGAGGTACGCGATGTAGTGGGTGAGTGTCGAGTTTCAATCGGAATTTCAACAATCCTGCAATCTTCGCGTGACAAGTCGTGCCCCCAACTCTCATTCAAACGGATGTGTTTGTTTACTTGATATCAAAACTGCTTAACTTAGAAGCAATAGGTGCTAAGTCTCCTAGCAACCATTTAAACAATAAGGAGACCAGTCCTTCGGGATTTGACTGCTAACGACTTCAATTATGTCCCTTTGTGTCATGTTATAAYTTAACAACGTSRGGTCAACAAAGCTTCTACGGCTGTGAACATCAAGCTTAAGAATGGGCTTCTTCCTTGTGATCTTTTGAGCAAACTACTCTGTGGTCTTAGAGATCAATGCTGTCGAATACAAGTTGAACGAGTTTAATCCACAGCTGAGCTGATGCATCATGCCTGTACGAAAGCCCATCCAAAGGCCTAGTACATGTTGCTCTTCAAAGATACAGAGAGAGGACTCGTAAGTACAAACTCATTGATGTATGTTTTTAGCATAAAATAAAGTAAAAACTCCAGAGTTGGTCGCTGCAAGAGCTAAAACATTTGATGATTCTTAAACATAGCTCTCTAGGACCAAATCCAGGATCACTTATGTTTCGATTTGACTTAATTGGCATAATACATTTGATAATGCTTGGTTTGCCGAGAGGAATATGAAATGGACTTTGTATGATAAACAGATATTCGCAGTATATGAGGCATGTATGACCTTCTGTGGTTTGGTTATAAGGGCGACTTCAAATGCCTTCCTTGAATTTATACATGCCAATATTTTGTATAAGTTCCCATAATTCTCATTACTTCGCACCTGATATTGATAGAGGTGTAAATCACGCAAGACCAGACGCGAGCTTTATAATTCCCAGCGTATCGATTAAACTTAATGGTCTCACTTCCGCATTTAATTCCATGCTAATGTATCAATGACGTTTTGAATTGAAATTTGTCAGTCAGTTAGCTTAGCTATAAGTTAATCTACCTACTAATGAATTGTACTATATTATACAAAATATCTTTGTTTGAAGGAAAACAGAAAGAGATTTTCGCGTCGGATTCCATAAGTTCCAAAAACAAACCTTACATTTGGTGTCGACTATGACCTCTCGTYTTTCTGTCCAAATGAACAATCAAATGACATGYTGGTTCATCCGTTGTTGGCTMAGTTTATAGACAAAATAAACATAAAGCTTTTAAAAGATTACAGGGAATATAAGACACACCAGAAAAGCACTGAAAATGAAATGTACTTAGAGAGCAGTTTGCTGTATTYAATATTGTSCTTCAAGGCAACTAAATAATGTATAAGATTTGCAGAAGAAAAAATTAACTGCCGGTTTAATACCGCAATGTACCGTTAAGCAGAACTAAAGAGACGTATAAACAAAACTTCAATGCTGCAAAACTGCGATAACCAGTTTAGTGAGTAGAAAAAAAGGAAACGAACGAAAGAAATTTAGCAATGCAACCAAAAGTTTTCATTTTATGCATACACAAATTAAGAAAATTAATAAATGAGAATTTTACAACACACACCACCTCTGCAAACTTTTCAGTAGACTCTGTCTTCAAAAGGAAAACTACAATATCAAAAGAAAMTGCCATTCGCAGCAATGGAGAGACCTGCAGCTCACTAAGTCAAATCACATATTATGTCTGAACAGAGGATAGGAAGAGGACAACAGTTTTCAAAAACAAAAGGAAAAGGGAAGGAGAAAATGAATGAGAGTAAAAAATGGGGGAAAAAAGCCAATCGAAAAGGAGAACAGATTTAATTGTTTTGCTTTCTTTCGTAAAATTAAAAGTTTATTTTGGCATAAGATCATTGGATTAACATCGAATCAACACTATTAGCCGTTTCGCTTCCGKTATCTGATGATTTGACCATCGCGTGTCATTCAATAGTCAATCCTTATATAAAAGCAATGCCATTTTGTATTTGGATAGCCCAATCAGTCTTCAATTATCGGTTCGTTATACGTCCTACTTCAAGCAACATTCGCCGGCCCACGCAGTGCAAGTCTATCAGGTCAAGGAAAAACTAAAGTTATTTCGTTTGTCGTTTTCTGTAAAAGACTTTTCCATGATTTGATTTCCAATAATACCTTCTGATTATTCTTTCTTTTTGTGCCCTGAATTAGTTATRGACTCACATATTCGAACGCTACAATAGTAATAAAGGAATGGAAGACAGAGAGAGAGAGAGCGAGGGGAGCGCGAGGGAGCGACCTTAAGCCGAGCGCTAAATGGTAGCCTAATAAGTCATAATCTTCACATTATTTTTGTTAATAAATCCTTATTTTAATAAGGATTTTTTTATGACAATTATTACGCTACCATTTAAAGCTATCCGTAGCGACTAAACGAAAGTACACTCTCTCCTGAATCTCGATCTGTCAAAATGATTACATTAATCGCACAGATTTTGTGTGCGCAAAGTCTCTTCAACACTAGCATATTTATTTTTTCCGTTAAATACTAATCTTTTCTTTCCTCTAATTTTATCTGACATCACTGATCGACAGAATTGATTATCAATTGTGAATCGATTGCCTGCATTGGATGTTTGAATAGGAGTTCCTCTTTACGAGAATAAAACTTCAATATTTAATCAAAAACGGCCAAAAAGATAAAGAAGTGCCATAGATTAAGTCTTATGATATTAGTCAACGTAGGGGATTTTCATCGTATAACAAAAGTGTCAAACTTCTGGGTAAATTATCACGCGATTATAAGAGAAAATGCATCAAATTCCGGAAAGATTGTTGTTTTACAAATTAATRGCCGAGCAATGCCCTCCCAGGTAAGAATAAAATGTATGAACAACTTGTCAAAATTTTTCGACTTATCTTACTAAGGTGAGAGTCTGCGATTATAAAAGCACTAGTCGATAGGATTTTTGTTGGCATGGTTCGGCATGGTGGGAACTAGCGGTAAACTAGTGTGAGCTGCGTCGGTGTTTCTAAAGAAACAGTTGTGTAAAAGGATAAATTTAACACCGTTAAAAAGTATGTGAAATAACTTACAGACGTTTCGGACGTTTTTGTTGGTATGACAGAGAGAGTCGAAAAAGAGAGAGGAAAATAAATTGTTAAAACAACTTGTACAAGCAAGAATAGTAATCCMGGAGCTGGGCAACCCTTTGGACTGAAACCGCGCAACTCAGAACCGCGAATCTCAACTAAAGATAGTGGTCCGATCAATTTAACCATAGTTTAGTCTCCCAGCTCTTCTTGTGTAACTATGCCTTCACATAGAACAATTTTGGCGGGATATCGTCGCCATACAACTAATGACCCGACTATGTTCTCATGTCCGAGGAATTTTAGCGCGTTTGATGATAGAACAAGCTTACAAACTTGATTCTTATGAACTTGGTGAAAGATGTTTATATGACGAACGCCGGACCGACACAAAGAAAACAAAAGGACAAGCTTGCCGTTTGTCTAATTCCATCAGCAAATGCAAGTTAATCAAAATTTTGAGACTGACTCTCAGTGCTAACATTACTATTTCATCACGATTCGTTTCCATAGAGACATAAGCGCAGTCCAATGCCAGATCCTCCAACAATTATCAAAGCACAAAAATTAACCCTATAGGCTCATTAGCAACAAAACGTCATTTTCCTACGACAAAATGTGATGTTGACGCACTTGTAATCGTCATCAAATATCTTTGTCTTAGAACAATAGGTCTAAAGACACTTAAGAACTCAGCCCGACAGTATGAATAATAATCATGCCATGACTGTGTTTGCATGATTACCATGCATGACTTTTAATTATATTTATAACGGGTAGGCTGTGTTGACTGAGAAGTGAATTTAAGATTTATCGGCTGTACGCACAAGCCAATATACAGTTAAGCATTATATCTATATGTTCTGGGAATGAAAAGTTCTGCTACGTAAACTACAATCCAGGTTATTAGTCGAAAAGCTTTTTCTTAGCCTGCGGCGAAAGAGTGACAAAACAAGAAGTTTGAAGGATTTTTCATGAGGTGAGCTTTTTAACAGACCATGTGCCATTCTATTACGCTATAACTCCTATCACCTAGTATGTTATTATCACATTGTTAATATGGGTAATTAGGGAATGAAGATTAGAGTTAGTAAACGGATTCTAAAATAAACTTTACACATCGTGTGCGATGAAATGCTAGAGATTCATAATGGATTGTTGTTGCTTCTTCGTTARACGTTACCTTGGTATCCAAGGTTAGTACAGTTAATAATCAAACATCTGCTTTTTTATATTTCTAACTTCATTTAAGCGAGAAAATAATTTGATAAAGTGGAGGATCTCGTCGTGTGTTGGAGCGGAAAGAGGCACTCCGAAAAAATTGTATAAACACGATGTCTTAAAGTAATCGCATCGTGTGTATCTGCAACGACAAAAATCGAGTCCGAGTATTTATTGAAAAAGTYTAAAACAAACTTAATTTACACTCAAACGCCAAAGGAAAAAGAACATGGAATACATGCGTGACAACATAGAGAAGCCAATGTACCTCATAATAAACAATTGCTCATTATAAATACTCACTAAACGAAAAAAATGCATTTACTCGGGTTATTAAAATTGAAATTCCATTAATACTGGCTCCTTCGACAATAAGTTCTCTTATTTACAAAAATCCAAACATAGTTTATGAAGGTAGTTGCCATGGCTACTGTAAAAACGACATTTGAGTGTACATCTTAATTTTACCAAACACCTTAATTATTGCGATCAGGCTACAATCAAATCGCTTCTTAAAAAATTCGCACTTTTTATTATTAATCCTTAGACTGCATCGAGTAAATCAGTGTAGTGTTTACAGATAGCTCTTGTGGTGATCGCTATGCATACAATTCGAGATCAAATGCTTGAGGATTTGGGGAATTCAAATAGAAGCGTTAATCCCTTCTTCTTTGAATGTGATCTTTATATTGTTTCGTTTAGTGATCCAAGTTYTAATTACTTTAGGTTTCTGGTCTGTAAATCTGGCCATGTTTGCTTTATTTTGGAAACAGTTCAACTGACTTGTTTGTATAGCGTAAACGGAGAAATATTGTAATGTATTATAATATATTATCATAAATGATCATATAAGACCATTAGTTATAGRATTCTAGCTTTCTGTTAACAGAAAAAAAAAATAAAATAAAATAAAGGCCACATCCGATACAACACGTGTTTAAAGATGGTACTTTTTCATTCACAAATCAGAATTGTTAGAGCAACGTAACATACTTRGGCATAGCCTGCGATGGATTGGTGTCCACTGTAGGAAGAATTCGCGTGTATCGGATGTGGCCTTTATTTTATTTTATTTATATTTTTTAGCATTCTCAAGACTGTGCGCTAAATAGCTGTAGAAAAACTCTCTTTAATATCAATTAGGACTATTTATTGGTAATATTGATTGATCTATTTCTTTTCCGTTCAGCAATGGAACTCGACAAGGACAAGCCGCGTGGATGGCTTTCCACAAGCAACGTTCATTCACGCCAAAGGTAGCAGAGCAAAAAGCTGTGGCAACACCAATGAGCTGGCCAGGATGCGCGAGACCCCCAGCTGGACGTAAGTACCATGACGACCTTGAGAATGTTTGGAACTGGATTTATGAAAGAATGAGAAAAAAAGGAAAAAGGGGGATGAGAATAAAATGGAAGAAAGGAGAGAAGAAGGACAGAATTAAAAAAGGAAGGAGTTGGAGAAGGAACGAAGGAATCGGGATTTAAGATTGAATGAAGGGAGGAAAATAGTAACGAAGAAATAGCAAAAGTCAGAATAAGCATGCGAAAAGAAGAAATTGCCAAAAGAGAGCGACAAAWATCAAGAAGTAATGAGATACAATAAGTGAAAATTGATCAAAATTTCAATTTCTATTTGATTTGTAAGACAAAAATGTTACCAACAATGCTGAATTGTGTACATGTTTTTGTTCTGTACGCAGTGGGCACGCTAGATGCAAGCTACAGGCAAAACCGACTAATATCAACAGCCCAACCGWCAAGAGGGATTTATGGAAAGCGACTTCCTCCAATAGAAGACCCACAAAATTCTAAAATAACAAACATTGAACGAGGAAGCCGACATCATAAAAGTAACAGTTTACAAAAGAGAGAAAATAACGGCTTTTCAGCCAAAAAATGGGCAAATCATCGCTCAACTCAAATWTATAACGGGACATTACATAYACGCAAAAATGAAACACAGTTTCAAAATCCGCAAGAGTTCAAACGAGCGTTTCCAGTCCCCCGGCAAAAGAGGMGGGAMGTTGTGGTAAGACTGGGCGAGAGAGAAGCCGCTTCTCTAAGAAGATTGCAAGGAATTTACGCCAATACGAAAGAAAGAAATYTACGTGCRGAGAGAATTCAGCAGACTTTAAAAGCTTTACAAGATAAAACTTTGCATACRGAGGTAAACGAAAGTTTACGGGAATACAAGAAAARAGTAGAAACTGATAAAGGKAATCGAYTGGAGTTGAAACGAGTTCGMGATAATTACTACAAAGAYAAAAAGCGGAGGACTTCGMGGTCGCATATMAGCTTAAATGCTCTAGAAACACCGCAAGTATCYCGGCATGCATACGGACTACCGGAGGACGGGAAAGAATTCGAAGAAACTCAGCTTGTACACAAAACCGAAGAAAAATTGCAAGAAATTTGGCAAAAGGCTGTMCGTAGGGCTATTGTTATTGATAAATTAATCAAATGYAATACAAATACGAATCAACAAGAACAGATGCACTTACCCAAAATCATCGTCAAGCGCTCACCACATCCAAAAAATCACAAGGAATCAGAAGGTAAACTTTGTTTTCCATTTTTCTTTTAAGAAATTCAAACCACAATTTTACTCTACTTTTCTTTTACCAAAATTAAACAATATAAATATGCTGAAAAGAAATAACTTACAATATTAGTGTATTTTATGTATTTTGCTTAGCAATCGACTCAACTCTGTGGTTGAGAGTCAATTTTCACTATATGCATAGGAGGTTGACATTTCCCGCCAAAACTGAAAACGCGCGCGCGTGTACATCCGGGTTCTTTAGGGAGTACTAAGTAAAAAGCCTGGGTCGGAAATGGAATGACGTCCACTTYAGRGTTACAAAAGTGAMAATTAATACAGTATTATGKATAATAAATAMTTTCTAGCTATTTGGAACARCCGTTTAAATTTGTCATTACATCGAGTGCATGAATGGWATTTTCRTGTGATTTTCATTCATTCYTYGCAAAATACTGAGATTTAAACTTAAAATTATTTCTTATTTACGGCTATCAAAACATATGGTTGYAGTTTTTTAACTTTAAAATATCAGCAACTCTACATATTGATGCATTTATATTTGTTGGGGGTCAAAATTGATTAAAATGCTCGTCAAGTGTTTCATTAAAAAGAATATTAAATGTACGTTCCAGGTGAATCTCCTCCTCAACCTAAATCCGGTTATACCAATCGCAGTGAGCTTATAGATGTTGAAATGGCAGAGTTAGACGCRATATCATCAGGTACGGTATCTAGTCAGTGAATATAGGGTCACGTGCCCGCTTAGGTTCAAGTCATAAACTTAAATTAAATAAGGCTGGGTTGAATGTTCAGTAAGCCATAGCAGAATAAATATCTATTTGCTTCGTATGACGAACTATCTATAAGACGTTTAATATAATTTTCCATTTTTCATATTTTAGTTGGTTCCGACATCGATGATGATTTGACAGACACTGGAGACGAAGACTAATATAAAGGCAATGAACAATTCAGTCTCATTATTGGCGATGGGATCATTTATGGAAGACAAGACAGTACAAYAAGACTGCCATTTTGATGKCATCTACTTATTCAAGATGGCGCCCGCAAGARTGAAGTGTCACTGTTCTCGCTTGTCATTGGCTAAACAATAAGAGATGGACTTATATTTGTCCAGTAAAGCCTGAACAATTACACTGGAAGACCAAGTATTCTAGATACTTTAAGATGTTTTTTGATTTACTTTTTAAAAATATCTGAAAGTTACTTCACAGTTGCCCTTTCTGGAATTCAAAAAGGAACTTGTACTGAGTCAAAATCTGACGTGGGAAATTGCACGCAAATGATCTCGGATACACGTGGGCCTTTAGGATGTGCTCTGAACTTTTTTCCTCGTTTTATCTTTCTTTCTTACGGCAAATGTATCTCTATTATGTTTCAAATTATCTATATAATAATATATCATAAAGAAATTTAATGTAGTATTTATCTATGAAAAGATTATTAGGCATTATTTAAAGACAATGTTATCATTATATTTGAGTTTTAACATTTTAGTTATAAAATCTTTATCAAATAATAGTGTCAAAAATTCTGCGTTTTGTGACCAAGCCAGCTTTTTGCCGTGTTTTGCTTGCTTGCTTATATTGTTATTGTTGTTGTTGTTGTTGTTGTTGTTGTTGTTTTGCTTTTTTTTTTTGCTTTTTTTCGTTTGCATGTTTGTTCGTTTGTTTTGGCATTTTAACTGTCAAATTCAACCAATCCTAACTAATCGATTTTCGCGGAATTGTCTCAAATAATTTGGTCAACCACGAAATCCAATACCAACAGCTCAATTTTCATCGATTTTTTTGTCCAAAAGTGATTGGCGGTTTTGACCTCCACCCCAACCCCCTAAGTGCTTCCCTCATATCGATTGACATAATAGCTTCGCGGTTAAAACTTTTCATAGAGAAAATAACAATTAAAAACTAAGCTTTTAGTACGTGAATATCAGTAGAGATATAATATAACCAATGGAAAACATCAGATTAACAAAATTATAATAAAAAGGAAACGATTTCRTTATAATATCATGGAAAGAGGAATTTCGTTAATGAGGCCCGTTGAATACAAAATTCTGGAAACTGATTTAATTATTACTTGCGTTTTTCATTCTTCTCAACCTAAGGAAACTATCAAGTCAACGAATTAATCTGTCAAAGGAGCGCTCTATTAAATACGTTGAGTTCCGCCTTAGGCCTTTATAGATTCCACCTTGATTGAACAAGTTCTATCAAGGACTTGACAAGATAGATTTTATTGTCACTTGATTTGAACTCGTCGCGTACACGTTTAATTCGAACTTGAATGAACTAATCAAACGGTTCAACGTGCCGTGCACGTGGCTCGACTGAACCCATCCTTACTTTGGTATCCCTGTGGTTGGAAACACACAGGAAGACCGCATTTTAAATTAACAAGCTCGTACTAAGCTTTTATAAGACTAAAGGTATGAGTAATCTTAATTCTTGGTGAGTCAATTAAGAAAAGCTACTCGGAGATAATTAAGATATCTACCAAGAGAAAAGGACACTAGAAAACGCAGACGGTCGACATCAGTCACAAGTGTATTACTTTGTGTGAGTTAGACTTCGATACCCGACCATCTTGATAACATGAAAGAGGGCAAGCTCACAAGAAAACCATTAAACTCTCCCCAGATGCTCAATTCCCAGTAACTAACAGCCTCCAACAGTTAAACAACGTAGACTGGCAACCAGAAAAACAAAACTAACACAATGTAGAAGATGATTTGCAATGGGGAAGAAACTGTCCCGTTCGCAGCCCTGACATGGGATTCATTTATCACGAAGCAATGGAGACTAGCATTTTTGATTTCATTCGACTTCTTTTTGCTTCAGACAAAGGRACTTTGGATAAAACATCTATTTGGTATTTGTGTCGAGAACAATGGTGGAAAGATTCAACACGTGCAGCCGAAGCAATAGCCTTCTACCACCACCCGGACCACACTATACCACATCACTTAGAACTCTTTCTCCAAGAGACCCCTCCTGGTTGACTTGATGTATCGAGTGGCATATTTTCATAATTAAATTGTCGTCCAACTGTATCTTTTACGCCTGGGAAATATCTGTGTATTTCTAACTATTTTCTTAATTGTTCGTGGCTGTATATCATGTAGGAAAAATCATTTAACAACTGGACAGCTCACGGAGCGATTCTCATTCTAACTCGAGTAATTGTGCATATTATTAAACTGATAAGGTATCCTTTTCTTATGTTCATTGTTTTATTTATCTATAGAAGAGAAATCACAAAAAGAACAAGAAAAATCGTAGATCGTTGACGCCTCTTAGACTGTTGCTTTAATTATCTTTGTAAATGTGTAGCCATTGGGTCGCACGAGCTAGCCTGCTGACAGTCTCGAAGCTTGCTAGCTCATTCTTCGTTCAAATGCCTTTCACTTCGTTCAACTACTGCACGTACGAAACTATTATATCGCCAATAAAATACCGTTTCATTGCATGAATGGAACGACCGCAGAATAATAAACGGCCTAACAGTGGGGTTAATTATATTCAAAAGAATACAGAAGGACACTGAGATTTTGTATGGCCTGTGTTCAAGCGTACATAGGTTGGGCAGTAGGGGGGAAAAATGTAGCAACTAAACCGTCCTTCGACTTCTACTCCAACAGAATTCTTTTTAAGGTTTTAACTTAATGACCTTAAAATCTCCTTCTAAGTTATCAATAGTTTAAGAGGATTTCAGTTAAGTATCGGCTGCTCATATATTTGGGAGTATTCAAGAGCCCTGCTATAGTAATCGTTACGACTGCGCAATAAGGTACCCAAAGCACGAGTCAATTATCGAGTACACACAATCTGACATATATTGTTTGAAACGTCTACTGATTCTCAGGATAGAATCCACTTTTTCTTATTTCACTATAGAGACGAAGTAAGGACCAGAAGGCAGCAACAATGAGTCAAATCACGATGAATACTTTTCCCTTCTCATAACCAGCTCGCGCATTGTAAGGGAAAAAAAAACGCGCTTCCTAAAGCTCGAGCTTTAGCCTTTGACAATAAAATTAAGTCATCTTCAACCAAACTTTTCAAGCTCAAGGATTTCTTGCTAATAGATCACTGTAATTCACTTAAAGGATTAACTATTTGCAATTCGCTTAAGATCATTTTATAGGGAAAAAAACACAATTATGGYAATATATCAATACTGCAATATACAAAACCATCAAAAACTCGCGTCCATTACGTTCTCTATGATAAAACCCAGTGATTATATTTAGCATTTCATAATGAGTAGCTACTCTTGAACAATGCTGAAGATTATTAGATTAACTGATGCCGGACCCCTCCATAGCGAGATTTTCTCATGGGAAAAAATACTTAATTTGAAAAGTTTATACTTGGGCAGTGGATTAGTATTTGGCGAGAAGCGCGTGTCTGAAACACTAGCGACTACAAGTGTACCGGATATAAAGACCAATTTGAAGGATATATGTAAAATGGATGGTACAAAGGCTACCACGACCGGGAAAACGCCCGAAGGACATTTAAGGAAAACATAGCATTAACATTAACTTGATGTTTTGAGAAACCACTTCAGAGATCCCTCTATATCCGGACTGAATCCAAAAAACCTGTGCACTCCAAACGCCTTAAGATATAGCATTTGTACAACAAATTAAGAAAAAGATTATTATAAATATCTTTCCAAATCCCTGGTACTTCCATTTATTTGATCATTTATTCGATCATTTGTTCGATCATTTATTCGATCATTTATTCGACCATTCATTTGATCATTTATTCGGTCATTTATTCGTTATTAGCAGTACAGCAGTTTCTGGTCTGCATGAAAAAGTTTAGCTAAAAGTTTCACTAAAATACCAAATTTTACTCCATCGTCATGGAGATGGCTCGCTTCTGCGCAGAAGGCACCTGTTGTCAATGCTTTCCGTGGAAAGATAGCGAAAGATCTGCATATATGACAGAATCTTTTAAAAGAATGTATTATCCCGAGACACCAACAACAGCTCTGCAGGAGAGAAGCGAAATGAGGAGAGAAAAAAAATGTGCTAAATTCATTGTGTTGGCCATTCAATCGTTGTTGGGTTCGATTCAAATTTATTAAAGTGACTTCTATTGGGAGTGAGCGAGTATTCCTGAGCTAGTTCCCACAGAATATACATCAATTCCAATATCGCAAAACAAATGTTTTTTTTTTCCAGTTCCCTGCGTTTAAAACAATACGTTAGAAAATTGACAAATAAAAATATCATCGCTAGCGTGTACATCGGGTGTAATGCAGTGTTTGTGCCRATGAAAAAAGACAATKGCCGAAGCGCCAAAACACGGYGAAACCCCAGGGAGCCYCAAACAGCATTTTGCGTATCTTATTGTATGGTTTAATAGRCTCTCACAAGCCAAGCATTACATGATTGAGGACAGCAACACGCTGAATGGATACAATGAACGCTTCTTTACGTGCTCGCTACAGGGGTCTAAAATGAAGAAAAGAAAAATCGTTGCAAGGTCTGTTTGTGATTAATAGAGTCTTTTATTGAACAGAATGCGGRGCTTGTGAGTCGGCGAATTTGAAAACCTCRTGATCTAAAATACTCTGTRCGATGAATTAAAGTCACTAACTTATAGGAAGCCAAACCGATAATTGCTCCCTGTCTTCCWACGATTAGATTAACAATCTCGAGGGGATACAAACTCGCTTGTTTAATGTGACAAGSTGATTGGACGAGAGCGCTACCACACAAGACTTTGAGAAWMACMAKTACACTAATAGCTTACGATTTGACCAACTTTGTCTACTTTATAGGTCAGGAGAACATCCTGGAATACGCTCTAAAAACTTTAATTAGAAAAGCTGTAATAAGTAAGACTTGTACACTACTTTTTTCCCACCGAAGAATTAAGTGGCTTCATCAATATTTTATTAGCTTTAGCATTACCTAATTTTCTCTCTCAATGTTGCTCTGGTGAAATGTTTAAGTGCCTCTAAGACCCAACTAAGCGAGCATAAAGAAACTAAATGAAACAGAATTGGGTCTTCAAGAAACCTAAAGGCAAAATGATAAGCAAAACATCGCCTATTATTAACAATTGCTCGGGTTAACCTCGACAGGTGAAAACTACAAAGCTAAAAAAAAAGAAAACTAAGAAAAAAAACCCAGAAAGCTACACTTATTTAAATATCAAAAAAACACAAATTGTCGTTGATTTAAGACTTAGTGTAAAACAATGACGGTTTTTTTTGGGCAGTTTCTGGTTGTATCTCGATACACAATGCGCTTATTAAGAAGTCTTGAAGTAAATCAGATGACGAACTCCATGACTTTTGCTGAGTTAATGAGAGACACCTCTGAAATAATGGAAAAGACACCTTTTATCAAACAACTCGAGGGTTTGGCGAGAGAGATTCGGAAGTGCCACTAAGTTGATACTAAGTTTGATCACTACCAGTGTCTAAAACGTAAATATATCTTTGGTCCAAAYCCAAAGCTAAAGATCAAAAGTTCGCTCTGATATAATATATATAAGCTTTGAAATAAACMCYWYATSTGTTTGTTTGCTTTGAAACGCCACAGTAGGAATTCAATAAAAAACACAGACTGCTTTTTACATAATTTACAAGCCGAAAAAGTGAAATATTCAGGAGAAGGAAAAATCACAAATCAAGAGTATATTATTGAACGTAGTGTTATATATAACTTAGTTTATRCATGGTTAGAAATCTTACGCAAAAKTACAGGATGAAAGTCGAAATGGATACGGAAATCTTTCACAACTTRTAATACCACAAAGAGTGTTTTAAGACTTTTTGAAGATGAAGTTTTCGTGGGTGATTTCGTTTAGTTTAGTTTATGTAATGTAATTCCATGATTGAGGACTAATTTCATTATAAGCAGTATATAGTTTGATTGTAAGAGCTATTGTCCGTGTTTACAAGCATATTTGGATCCAATTATACTCTTAGTTTGATAATAAGCTCATCTGAAGGCAATTGCCTGTGAAATATTAATCAAACAGGAGCCATTATTTTATCGATTTAAACACGGCACATATGAAAACCACCACGCATTTCTTTGACAAAATCTACTGGTTCTATTACAATTTATAAGGCTCCAAGGGCTAGAATGGAACAATTTGCCTTGGTTTTTTCTTAAGTTYTTTTGAAAACTTCAGCATAAGTTTTTAACTTAAAAGTCGATWWAAAAAATAAATYGCACCTTAATTTTGCGGAATAAWRAAGTGGAGTTTTAARAATACAACATAAATACGCCAGCATTAGCAGAATCTAATCTTAAAAACTGCGCTCAATGTCCTTGAAATAAAACAGATTTAATGCGTGCCTTAAATCCAACAAAATCCACACAAATTTGTTAAAAAAGAATCCCAATTTATTGAATTTTTCTTTAAAGACTTTTACAATTGCTTAAAATCTGCTAATGTATATATATAATATATTTTTTACAGTTAAAAGTTTTGGTATTTACAAGGTTTTGTTGTGGCATTACGAGGGTCTAATATACAGCGTCGCAACACTCCGAGTAAAACTAATAAAATATTGATTATGTCATAAATCGTGTTTAAGTTTGTTTATGCCTGCATTTAAGTCATTTTGAGACCACTTTTTTATTTACTTAAACTACTTTTTAAGTTCTTTTTGATATATACTTAATTTTGTGTTAGTGATTTGACCTGTGCAACTAAGTAAGCAGAGTTGGTTACAATTCGATAAATGAATCAAATTAAAGTGTATATTCGTCAAAAACTACAAGTTTACAGTGATTATGAATCCAAACTGCTGTTAGAGCGAGAAAATCATGTACTTTTTACATAATCTTTGGAGAAAATAACCATTTTTTTGACTATGGTTTAGGAACTGTAGCTATTCGGCTTTTTTGAAATCTGAAAAGTGTCAAGAACATACCGCTTTACGTGTCGGTTAACTATTGTTCACTAATTTATCGGAATATTTTTTGCCTTTTTACAAAAAAATGTACAATGAAGTTCTTATCTTGACAGCGTTTACTTTACAAAGACCTTGCATTGGTTGTATCGTTGTCGTCTTGTTGCGAATGTGAAGTCGAGTGCTGCTGTGAATTCGAGGTGTGGCATTCAGAATCCGAAGTGTTCGACGCTTGTTGCGAAGCCGCCTTTTCTTCGGCTTGCTGTCTCTTGTACTTTGTTCGTCTGTTCTGAAACCAAACTTTAATCTGGGTCTCCGATAAATTCAGATAAGAAGCGAGCTGCTTTCTCTCTGTTCCGACGATGTAGTGGTTCTTGTCAAAAGCGTTCTCTAAATGTAGGAGTTGTGTCGGAGTGAAAGCGGTACGGATTCTTTTCGGTCTTCGACAAGCAACAAATCCTGGAAGATAAAACCAAAAAACACTGAGTCAGTTAAAAACTGTATTTTATATTATTACATCTATATAAGGTAAAGAAAAACGGGTCTAAAAWCTTCCGAAATTAGAGTTAAACTCGTAAATTTAGTCAAACATTTCGGGCATTTAGTTGATGAAATCTYTTCCATTTAACGATCAAAATTGCTATGATTTCTCTCCAAATGCATTTAAAAAAAATTGCTTCAAAAAGCATGAAATTCTTTGCACATTGATGACTTATTATAGCAATAAAGAGATATGCTCCTAACGTGGAAGTTATTGCCATATAAACATCTCTATTATATCTATAACTGCGAAAATCGCTAGATTATAGCCGGCGTTGCTGGGTGCACTACTAAATCACTGGCAGTAGTAATCATCTTCCATCATTGATACGTAATTTCAGCTAAAAAGTGCGTTTTCACATCATTGTCCTTCATTTTAAGTTTCCAAACTTACCTCCATGTAAAGAGCTCGTGTAGCCGCAGTTAAAATCGTGGACGTATCGATGGCTTGAGGCGCAAGGGTAGAACGACAATGCGCTTGAATTGTACGCCGAAAGACTATGTAGTGGATGAGAATCAAGTCTCACTGCAACGGGATAGTCAGTCGGGTTCTTGTAGCTACTGTAGCTCTGCTGCGAGTTGGTAGAAAGCGAAGAATTCGGTCTATACATGGTATTAATGAAGGAAGACTGTGTATTGTCATAAGCATGCATTCTGGTAAAACTTGGTTAGTGTRGTTSTAGTTAGGCGATGTGCGGGCCTGCGATATCCAAGTTTCTATTCTGAGCCGATACTGAGGGATATTCTCGGTGACATCTCATTATATACTAGCGGCTGTATAATGATATTACAATGCATTGTTTTGTGTTTAACTAATGAKGCCTTGTCTAATTAAAAGTATTAGAGCCTTGAAAGACCAGAGAGCTACCCGGAAACACGAAGATAATAMTACCAGGMTGGTCTGCAAAAGAAATTGAGYTGCAACACCTTTAAGTGAAAACCAAAAAACAAATAGKTGATTTTCTTGCGATTCTGTTGACAAACTATGAAAGTGTGTTGTGATAAGCTAATTCAAAGTTCGTTGATAAGGATTCTGTGCTACGAACAGCTGATACACACCGAATTAGAACGAATTGTTTTATGAAAATGTAAACAGCGTATTAGAAGCTCTGAAGGGTAATTCACGCAACAACTTAAATGAGTTACAGAGATATATTCGAAAAGCGACGACAGCATACAAATAATTCGCCATAACGCCTTGTGAAAAAAAAGAGAGACAACTGTACTTAAAAACTCGTTATTTCACATTAAAAAAAAGGCTGATCGGATTGTTTAACATGCCAAAAAGATCAAACGATTTTCGGGAACAAAAAAATAACTTTGCATTGTGTTTTCTTTTAAATCTGAGCCTTGTACAACAATGGAACGGAACATATGGYTRAAACCATCACTATATTACACATTAATGACTTCACTTGCATAGCCTTCTTTCGTTGGCTGAACCTATGTTTAATAATTAAGAAGTGTTTTCGAAGATATCAAAARCCCAAAGTACAGAATCAAATACAAATGACCTAGWGTTASATTAGGMAGAAAGTTTAAAGCATTTTGGAAAACAAAAGAGAGCCTTGGCGAGCAATAGTGTCAATTCATTCCGATAGGCCATCAACACTGMTACTCCGTGCGATCAAATTCAGCTTGATCAGTAYAGTTCAAGTAGAATCGATTAGGTTTAAACAATGGCAAGGCTTTATTGCCTAGTCAGARCCCTTTCAGTTATCAATAAAGTTGTTTAAGGATGAGCGAAGCATTAGGAAACTCAAATCACAACTTGATTRCAAACTCATAGGGACTTAACAAACACAAACACTCATTTTCTACARAGTTCAAGAATGGCGTACAATTTCATTGTACACACTTTTGTACGGGGATTTCGGGATTAAATGGATTGRAATTAGCAGTGTAACGCGAACAGGAGTTGGAACTCCTCGCTAATTTAAAGTTAAACTCGCTTTGTTGACGATAATAGTAGTAAGAGAATGACTTCAATTATGACCGTTTGGAGCTATCCCGCATTAGAGGAATTCTCGCTCGCAGCCCGGAAATTGAAGCTCATTCCTAAACTTAAGGATCTTTAAAATCTACATGACGAAAATCAAAACAGCATTTCGTAAATGCGCTTCTTATTGAGCTGACCGTGAGATATTTKTGAGTCATCTAGTGTAATTATTGAGCTAGTTATGCCCACTGAACGATGAATCATCGAAGATTGAAAATATATATTAAAAAATACTAAAGGTTTTGACTTTATGTTGTTGGATTCGACGCCTAGACTTTCATCGAACGAGTTTTTTTTAGATTGGATTCTGGATTGCGTTGAAATCGAATTAATGAATGAAAACTGGCGAGGAAAGATCTCGAAGCAGAGAGAATGTTTTTAGGACCAGTTAATCTTTGAGCATAAACGGGCTTTCTTACAGCATTGAAACAATTTCATCTCGAGAATATAGATCATATCATTTGATAAAAGGTAGTACCTCTTTTCTAGGGCTTTGAAAGAAACTCTTAACCTCAAATCACGCATTTTTTTTCTTTTTTTCTTGACTTTCATATCTTCAATTTCTTTGACAATATAGAATTGAATTGAGTTRAAATAAACTGGCTAGACATAATAGTATTCAATAGATTTGGCAAAAAAGTCAGATCAAAAAGTACGAAAAATTAAACACAAATTTCAACTACGGACTCTGCAAAGGGATTTATCGAATTCTTCTCGGCTTTAACAAGCGGGGATGGCGCGAATTCTAAAATTCAAACATTATAGTAGACTTAGCTTAGAGGAAATAAACCTAAATGGAAAAGGAACTGTTTCTAAACGATGTTTTTCAATCATGTTTGGTTTTGCATTTAACCTCGCAATAGGGGAGATGTTAGTTAAGTGTCTTCGATGATTTTGGTATTCGCGACAACGACAAAGGGTGGAGCCGGGTGGCTCGCTGTTTCTTCACTCGAAATATCAAGTTTTCTTTAAAGTGACTTAGTTTTCTTAGCTCCCTTTGAATAGGAGCTCAAAATAAAGGAATTCTAATACATTATAAAATCAAATTACCTCTGGTTTCCGATTTGAAGTTTTTTTATTTTTTTTCCCTGCCTCATCATCTGGGAACGCRCCATCTGTCGTTCTGAATTCCCTAAACACTATATCAAGCTTGTTACATCTAACGCAAACATTGGGGTTCTAGATACAATTTGATAACCTAACTCCCGCATTGGACCTATTATAGCCAGTCTTTGAAATCAAATCGCTGGAAAATTACTTCAAATGCCAGCCTCAGCGTAAATTACGTATTTGAGATACACATTTGCATCGGGAATATTGAGATTTTCTTTTCGCTCAAATTCTCGATATAATTACCTTTCGATTATGTCATAAAAGAAATAATTTACTTGAAAAAGTGAAATGGTTTTTCATCCGACGTTTTTYAGTTGTTAATGATTTCAAAATGAAGTCAAATTTACAGTTCCTGAATTTTTATTTTYATATTTGTTCTATCTATAAATGATGAAATAAAGAATTTTTTATTGGGGAATGTTTTGATCASTGCATAAACCTAAGGGAGCAGCGCTTGTTGAGAGAAAATTAGAGCCCCGTCTACCAATCAATGAAGCCCTGACAGGGATGGAAGTAACTGCCGGCATTGTTCCATTCGCTTACAGCTCTGTAATTGAGTCAATCTAGCACGAATCGAACGGGCAATTCAGCTGCTCAAAKACCRARYATACAYGAACCTCGAAGGCCTCAATTTCTAAGCGTTTACAAAGAGATGYGACGTCTTGAAGATTTGGTCATCACTCGATTGTATGTATAGCTTGACTCGATCGATGAAATGCTTGTAAACACACACAATAAAAAGACTTGACAAGCAGTTTTCCAATAAATACAATCTCGTTGGAGGTTATTTGCTTGACACCAATATCTAATCAAAGTGCCGGGTTGTAATTTGGTTCGCCGTGTCGAAGCTTTACGTGGCTAACCTGTCACSACCAGCTGTCTATCCGTTACCGATAATGTGAAGTGCATAAACTTGTCAAAATATCATTTTCATTAAGCTTTTGCGTGGAATTTCATTGGAACTTTATGTTTAAATAGTCCTAGACGAAAGTCGTTTGACAAATCAATAAGTYGAGGGAGCAMATTTCCGCCGTTTAAACAAGAAATGTATACCATCCCCTAATGAAAAGCAAGCTATATTTCACGACAATTATTAATAAAATATTGCGTTTTTAACAGCTTTTTGAAAAAAAAGAACYTTTTTTTAAATGAGCGAGGTATTTTGTGAAGTTTAATTCACTGTTCCATCAGGTTTTTACTTTCAAGAATTCTTGGTATATCTGCATTAGAATTATTAGTATCCTTACATATCAAACTTCAAAAGCTAGGAGCCTATGTTAAATGGAAAATGCCACTAATTTTGCTCAATGAAATAATTATGAGTTCCAATAAATGCCGAAAAACAACGGCTTAAAGTTATTTTAAGACCAGGTTTGCCACTTTTTGACGGCACGCAAGTAAGTTCCTCACAAAAAAACTGTCTTTTCTAAAGAAAATAATACAACTTTGAAACCTRAAAAAATTAAGGTATTGATTTAATTTGATTAATTCGATTTAAAAGAGTCCCTATCGACTTGATTAGTGAATTTATTTAAATCTTAGCACCAACAATCACATAGACTCACGAAATTTAACCAAGACTGCGCTAGAAAAGTATACCAACTTGATTATTTCACTAGAAGAAAACGACATTATTGCTTATAAGATGAAAACAGTCTGGTACTATATCTAATGGGCTAGGAACTAGGCGCTAAGTGAAAAATAATTAGATAATGAGGGATAAAGAAAACGCTAACTTACMATACTTATTGCAAAGAGCAGAATTGAAGTCCGGTTGTCTTTTATCTCTTGTAAATTGACGCCTTTTGGGTTAGCACGTATATCGGAAATTTGAAAGCAAAAAATTTAGAAAGGGGAGAATTACAATTAAAATCATTTTAGCCGACATTAATATCAATTGGTCTTCACATTTAATTACATCAGTGGATGTCAAGACATCGATAAATATTGTCATTAATTTATACACAAAATATAATGATAGTAAAAGTTAATTATAAATAATTATTTGTTGGAACTGAGTTTGATATGAAATATTATTGGATGCTGAATATGATATGAAGCTTTATTGGATGCTGAATATAATATGAAACATTATTGGAAGATGTATGTGATATGAAACATTATTGGACGTTGAATATGATATGAAGCTTTATTGGATGCTGAATATAAATATGAAACATTATTGGAAGATGAATATGATATGAAACATTATTGGACGTTGAATACGATATGGAACACTATTGGACGCTGAATATGCTATGACCTCATGTTCTCGTTCCAAAAACGTGCAATTAAACATGATCAATATTGACTGAGGCTGAGACCGAGTCAGTGATATCAAACTTATTGGTTAAAGCTGAGTAGCATTTGAAACATTATTGAATGAGGCTGAGTATGATATGAAACATTCATGACTGAGGTTATGATATTATACAACATTGGTTTAAGCTGACTATGATTTGAATTTATAACATTAATGGTTGAAGATGCGTATGATATACATCATTATTGATTACGACTGAGCAAGATATGAAAATATTGTTCATTTAATACAAGTATGACAAGTATGATATGAACAATTAGTGGCTGACGCCTTGCACGTTGTGAAGAATTATATATAATGGCACAGACTAAGTGGTTTTCACCCGAGAAAGCCGTAAATTTATTAATAAATAATTATCAATTAGTGATATAGAGGATATTACATGAGCGCGCGGAGATACGGGTTTTATCTTCGAATATTACATTGATATCTCACGAAGCGATTTAAAGAATTTTTTCGCGTTTTCTTGGTACTTTATTTAACTTTATATAAAAAACCTCTGACCTTTGATGGTCATTTTGACGGTCAACATAATCAGCTGCGCTAAGAAAMTGTGTCATTTACTAAAAGTACATGATGAAATTGCAACATCATTCCAGAACATCAATATTTGATATCATGAGAGAACATAAAATCTGCTACAAATAAGGATGTATGATTACAATCTCGGCGGTCATCTCGTTTCGATGCAAAGGTACGTCGAAGTAGACTATCGAATAGTGCCAATTAATGCATATTACTTATACATGTATTTTTCATACATATACAAGTTTTACAATTTTTACATTTTTTGAAAAACGCTGTAATTGTTGGTAATTTAACGGAAAAAGATTTGCGTGGATGAGTGTTGCCTCGTATATAAAGCTCAGTTATAATATAATAATAATAATATGTGGTATTTATATAGCGCCGATATCCTCTGAGTTCAAAGGCGCTTCACATGTATAGATCATTTCACACGGACCGCTGTTTAAGGCGCAATTGGCAGCCACGCGGCTTACAATCAATTCAGTAACTTTAGTGATATATAATTTTAAAAATCCATCCCTTTTACGTATTACGCAGCTTGAATTGTTCGTCTTCACGTAATTTGTTCATCTTTACGTACTTTGTTCGTCTTTACGTAATTGTCGAYCTTTATGCATTTYGTTCATCTTTAACTTTACGTTAGCACTTTCTTCATCCTTACGTATTTTGTTTGTCTTTCCGTAATCGTTCATCCTTAAGTAATTTACTGATGAAGCTGACATTTGCTCATTTTTACGTAATAGGTTCATCTATACGTTACGTATTTCACTCACATTTAGCGGTAATTTGCTGATCTTCACATATTACTTTGCTCATCCATTTTCACGTATTTCATTGATCTTTATTCGTATGGCATTACGATCTTACGTATTGCATTGCACTCACAAATTTCAGTCCGTATTACAAATCATTCCGTGATCCAACATTTTTTTTAAATGTGCCAAATAATTACCCTCTCACCTGGTTATAAATCGCAGGCATTTGATTATCGCAACAGATGGTTTAAATCTACCCGGCACCGCGTTAAACAAACGCAAGTTGATCTAACTAGCGAGTTATCATAAGTTATTAAGTTCTGCTTTCAGATAACGTTGAGAACGCCAAATGTGGTAGTCACGCTCGCGTGCGTGATGTTTACGAAACAAATAATTAGGGATAACAAAAATATCAGATAAATTATCTCCTGAACAGAGAATTCAGACGCCAAATTCGTTAAATAATTGAATGAGCTCCTTGCACAGGAATGGATGCATATATACAATATGGGACAATTACACGCATCTGATGTATTTAAAACAGCTTATAATAACAACAAATTCCCACGGTTTATAACTTTACTATCAATTTTTCTAAMATTTCCCAGTACTTTTTCTCGATTTCAAGTGATATCTGATAAAGAGAAATTCGCAGAAGATTGCTTCTGGGGCACGTTTGGGACATCGAAACGTCGTGAATTTTAACTCGTCAAAAACACAATTAAAAAGCAAAAACTTGTCAGGTTTAAGAATTTGCAGCAAATTTGTAACTGGTTTTGGAGAACATTTTGTGACATGAATTTTTAAAGTGTTTTGTTTTGATAAAACYGAAAAAAGAAAAAAATCGTCAGAACATTTTGCAAAACCGAATCTTTGTAAGTTTACGTTATTAAGTAAGAAAAGTTAGTAAGAAAAATCAAAACTTAACAAATTTTTTATTGAAAAGCTCTCAAAAAATTAAAATGATTTTTTTAAATCTCTTTTTCCGTTTTAGGCAAACGTTAAAAATTGTTCTTCTTAGGTTGATAGCATCTTGCTTTAAGTTCACGTTATAATAAAACTGAATATCTTTTCTAGAGTTAATACCCTCAAGTCAAAACACAATTATACAAGTATGTACTCAATCATTGAGTTTATAAGTCAGGAGAATTAAAAATTAATTTGTTTAGCTCTATTTAGGGATTACAAGATTCTAGTACGCTTTCTATAGAAATCCAGAAAACACAAAAAGGATTGTTCATGGTTACTAAACAAAGTACATTTTCAAAAAGAAGATAATCTATGGAAAGCTTCAATCTTTAATGATGTGTCAAACTTTCAATAATTATGTGTAAATGTTTCGGTAATCGTGTGAATAACTAAAACGGTCTTGTCGAAATAAAAAAAAAACAAGTGTCGTTATCAACCTTTTCGAAAAATTTCTCGACTCGCAACAAAAAGCCAAAACAAAAGCCCAACTAAAAGACTTTTTAAAACGAGTGAATGGCTTTGTTCAATTCGTGTAAAAGTCTTGTGTCAAATCTCCACCCACAAAGCTACACAATCAAAGCACCGCCACTGCAACAAATTTAATATCGAATCGGAGTAATTAGCAGTAGAATATAAAACGGGCACTCAACTCGTGTAGTGTCGCTAACTACAGGTCTTTGTTATYAAAACCAATCATTGGGTCTTCTTTGATAATTCGTTTGAAAGGCTTTGTTGTTTTTTGGACTAGGAACAAGGAATAACAAAGAAACATTTGGTAGTTCTTTACGATCTTTGTTTATTTGGGTCAACGGACCATCGAGCGAGTCCCACGGGAAGGGACGTTGTATATGGAAATTGTATCTTTTTATTGCAAGTGTAGCAAAATAGTTCACAATGTTTCCTTTTTGAACACGATTTGACTTTAAAAACAGTGCGCTTCGAGATGGAAAATCGACCTGATTTCTGTTTCAAATTATATGCAGGTTTGAAAACTCACACTTGACCTTTTTAATGTTAAAGCTATACTCAAAAAAATGATTTTCGATCATTTTTTCAACAGGTGACTAATTTGCGCCGGACATTTCACACAAATTACATTCACTTAAAAGAACTCGAGCTCTGAACARTTAAAATAACTGGACGTATAACYGCGGAAGAAAACTCTCTAAACATCACAGGGAAGAGAACAAGCGTGCAAATTCCGATGTGACCAGGACCGCGGGAATCAAGCTACAATTCAATCCACCATCGGTCTCACGGAACATTTCTAAAGGTATTTTCTTTTCAAGTAAAATGTCCGAAGTCTCCCAGTAGTACTCCATTATACCGACCAGCAGGAAGCGTAGGCCGGCACGCTATTACAAGTAAACCTCATTGAAAAAGCGTTTTCGGGTTTAAAAMGGTACATGACATCATGGACATGAAAACCAAGGGTGATTTTCAAAGCTTGCTCTCTAAATAAATGATATTATCAAATTCATTAATAATTCATAAAGTAAACACAATGGAAAATTTCATAAAGTAAACAAAATGGAAAATCGCAGTTTTAAATGCCCATGGTCTCCTGCTCATATTTTATATATTACATAATAAAACATTACAGTTGAACCTCTATTAAGCGGTCAGTCCGGACAAAATCCAGGTGACCGTTTAATAAAGGTTAAAAGTTTTATTGAGACCAAGAAATTTACTGTTACAGTCGAACCTCTATTAAACGACCCTCTATTAAGTGGTTACCCTCCATTTACCGGTCACTCATGGATTCAGCATAAGTCAATTCTCACATATATTTACGGTTAAGTATAACCTCTTTTAAACGGTCAACCTCTATTAAGCGGACACCTGGTCTTTCACCAAGGTGACCACTTAATAGGGGTTCGACTGTAATAAATTTGACAGCCGAGTTTTCGGAAACTTGTCATTGACCGCTTAATGGAGGGCGGCCGCTTAATTGAGGTCCACTTAATATATTGAGTTTACACTGTATTAACTTTTTTATCCTGGAGAAAGCCATGGTTCAGTAGTGCAGACTCTTTGTCATTCGTTTGCCTTCCAATGCTCCTTTTCGGTCTTAGCTATACGATGTAAGCGCTATTTAAACCTGACAGCATTTTGTAAGCGCTATTTAAACCTGACAGCATTTTGTAAGCGCTATTTAAACCTGACAGCATTTTGTAAGCGCTATTTAAACCTGACAGCATTTTGTAAGCGCTATTTAAACCTGACAGCATTTTGTAAGCGCTATTTAAACCTGACAGCATTTTGTAAGCGCTATTTAAACCTGACAGCATTTTGTAAGCGCTATTTAAACCTGACAGCATTTTGTAAGCGCTATTTAAACCTGACAGCATTTTGTAAGCGCTATTTAAACCTGACAGCATTTTGTAAGCGCTATTTAAACCTGACAGCATTTTGTAAGCGCTATTTAAACCTGACAGCATTTTGTAAGCGCTATTTAAACCTGACAGCATTTTGTAAGCGCTATTTAAACCTGACAGCATTTTGTAAGCGCT